GCCACACGACTGGATTACCAAGCAAAACCATCGTCGGACTTCCTCCCGTCCAATCTGCACAGTTCTCCTCCGGCCTTCGTGCGTCTTTACGGAACTTCCCGCACAACGCTTTCTGAACAGGACGCTTGCGAAACAAGCATGCCGTGTGCGTGACAAGGCACAGGGTCACCAGATCCACCGGCGCTGGGAGCGAGACCGCGGGAACGTGAGGCGCCGCGGCCCCGCCGGCCTACCCCGGCCTCGAGTAGAGGCTCGATGCCAGCCGGCTGCGCGGCCCCGCCCTTAGGCCGAGGTCGCTGCGTGCGCGCCGCCCCGCCGCAGACGTCATCGCCGCTCGGGCCCGGAGCCGTGCCCGTGCCGCCAGCCGCCAGTGAACTTCCTCAGACGTTAAATTGTTATCGATCCGTCGTGCGGGATGCGGCCGTCTTCTCGGCATCCAGCGCTGCCGGCGCTGAGAGACTGAGCCAGGCGCTGGCGCGAGGGCTGTCTCGAGCCCGCGAAAACGGGTGGTCGGCCGTGGTCTGACCCCGAGAATGTCTGATCCACAGACGTTTTGTGATTGCATCTGCCCGTTGTCCGACTGCGCAATGATGCAACTACCCGATACTGTGTGGTGCTGTAACTGTTAAACACTGCAGCAGAAGTCTTCTGGCCACCTACAGACCGAACTTCTCACTCGCTTGTCAGCATATTCTCCAGAATCGTGTTGTTTGGGGAACAAGTGGATGGTATATAGGCAGATCTAGAGAGAAATGGTTCGGGATATTATCACTTATTCCAGCTGGGCTGGCCTTCAGAACAGGACAAGTTCAACGCAATTCGTGCATCGCCTGCACAATCTCAGCAGCCAATTGGCTTTACCAAATAACTTTGTTGACGCCCAGGCCAGTTGGCAAATATGCTCTGTGTTTACGGGTAATGGAGTGCAAATACCCGCGCGGCGACCTGCGCAATCGAGTATGCGTTGGTGATCGTACACACGCTGCGAGGGCACTCCCGTAAGCGCGTGCGTTGCAATCGGTCTGCTCGGCTCTCGCGGACGCGTGTCAGCGGGACTCTCTGTGTCACAGGGACCGGTTACCGGGGCGACCCCGAGCGGATCGATGGCGCCGACTCTGGCGACGGTCGGAGCGGCGCACGGGCGTGAGCGACCCGCGCGCCGCGCCGCCCCGTCTGCCGCCGTCGAACGGAGGTGACAACGGGCGCACACAGGCAGGGGGAGGTGTGGAGGGCCCGCCCCATAGCCGCATGCTTTCTGTCAGCTTGCCAGCCAGAAAAGAGAGACCGTATCGATCCAGAGCCTGGTCACAAGCTGCATGACATTCAGACCCGGGCAGCGAGCGTGCAGTGGTTTCATTGAGCCCAAGTCATGTCGATTTGCAAGACAATGGGGGTTGCAAATCGGCTTGGGCTTTCCAGGCAAAAGCTGGAGCCGCCGCGGTGCGCTGCATGGTTGGCTGGTACGGCTCGCATGCTGTGCGGCTAGGCTCGCATTCTGTCTACCCACGAGCGCAGCAGCTTACTCACTTGTGGCTTCCCGTTTCAGAACTTTGTTTGGTAAAAAATGTCTATCATTAAACTTTGCTTGCAACGGGAACCCATCTAACAGGCACGTGCCATGTGAAGGGCTTTCCCTGGCGATGAAGCATGAATTTTAGATGTGCGTGTGGGCATGTGTGGTGCTTGCTTGCTTGCGTGCATACGTGGGTGTGTGTGTGCGTGTGCATTCATATGCGCGTGAGTGCGTGCATGCGTGTGTGAGTGCATGCGTGCGCCGTGCATGAGTGCTTGTCCTTGTACTTGTATTTGTACATGTGCCTGCGCCTGTGCTTGTATGTGTGCGTGTGCGACCGTGCGTTCGTGCTGTGTGGGACCAACTGACTGCATTCAGCCAGAAACAAGCATAGTTGTCTTTCTAACACACCCCACTAAAAATGCATGGAAACTGGAAAGCGGGCGAAGTCTTTTTTTAACCAGCGTCAGGCATTGCCTTGCGAACAAAAGCCGACCGGTGGAGGCCCATTCGTCTCAACCTGCATCAGATTAAGTGGCCTCCAGACTCTTTAAAGCCTTGAATGCCCGGCTGGGAGATTGATCATTTCGGCGCCGGGACCCACCGCGGGAACTCAAAGCCGCGCAAGCCCCGCCAAATCGACTCTCTCTCCGACACCGGCGGCCGCGGTCCCACTGGGTCAGGCCAGCCAGCGAAACCGACGGGGAAATAAAGTTGGCATATGAGAGCGGACCCGGTACATTTGATGATTCCTCACTTCTGCACACCCTCCAGGTGTCATCCAGCACGGAGATGGGTATATGATATGCCAATTATAATAATATGGCACGACAGGTCCATGAATGGCATGTCACTGTTATTGGCAGGAATACTTCACTTGGCTGTGGTTATACCTCCTTGCGTTATAACGTCTCCCTTTGGGAGTGAGCAGGACGGCATCCGTTATATGATTCCGAGCTTGCGTCAGAGCAGTTTGGGCCCGGCTTCCCACTCACTCTCGGGCGTACCGCTTTATGCCTAGCGTAAATGTCTGGCTAAACCCCCCACACCCCGCGGCACCGCAGACCGTGCACCACCCACCGGCTCGTCCGCTGTACACCGTCGTCTGGTTATCGGCCTTCCGGTCAGCTGCAGAGCAGACCGGCGCTGGGTCACCGGGCTAGCAGGTGATCGACGGGCGGTCTCTGATAGCCGCCGCTGTGGGCTTTCCTGAGACCACTCACTCGCCGTATAGTGGTCGCCGCGGCCGTGTTCGAGCAGCGCTGGCATCGAGGAAGCCTGGCGGCCGCCTCACGCAGAAAGAAAATAAAAGCATCGCTTCCTGGCCAGCATGTCGCATTTAGACGTCTGCTTATTTCGGTTCGGACGTTTTTCTCTTCGGGCTAGGGCTGTTTTGTGAACGCATCCTCGGATTCCGTGAATGCATCCTCGGATCCGGTCACTGCGGCCAAGCTGCCACGCGCCGGGCGCTGACACAACGGGCGGGCGGACAGGAGCACGGAAGGATGAGAGGACGGCAAGACTCACCGTGAACCGACGGCACCAGATCGACAGCCACTTCATGTTCTGCACCTTCTGGCCCGCCGGGAGGCGCAGGACGACGTCGGCGTTGCTATACTGCTGCAGGACATTGGGCTTCGCGCTGGAAGGAATAGGTACAGTAGTTATGTACAGAGAACACCAACCACACTTTAGCAATTGCACTCGTGACGCGATGATTGTTTGATCGCTGAGCGCTGTGTGACATTTCTTGATTGTTTGATCGCTGTGTGACATTTCTTGATTGTTTGATCGCTGTGTGACATTTCTTGATTGTTTGATCGCTGTGTGACATTTCTTGCGACACTAAAGCGCACAGGTATTGCCCGTCGCATATTTGAAGAAGATGACACGCCATCTTTTTGTTAAATAACGCGCTCTTATCATTAAGTCATGCAATTGGCGCGCACCTATACTTCCTATGCAGTGATGTGAAGTCATTTCGTAAATTTGTAGAGGCAATATCGCAAGCGATACGTGTTGATGAGGGGTCATGCGCAAATCGATATTTACGGGGCATGCAGCCATGTTTCTCAGGGGAGGGGAATGTCGCCTTATCTCGAAACTTCTGCGAATTTGGATCCGGAGGAAGTATCGCCCGGTGCCCCACGCCCTCCCCCTTCCTTCACGTCTTTGAGCAGTACCTCTTGCACGATCAGGTTCGCTGTGCGTCCCGAGCACTAGCATGCCCACAAAGATAGGGCGAAGCCTGAAGACGAGAAGAAGCCTGATTCGGCCTCCGGACGCACATCATGGCCTCGGCACCCGCTGGCCAGGACATCAGTCTCGTCTCCCGACACCGGAACCAGACAGCCATGTCCCAGGACATCAGTCTCGTCTCCCGACACCGGAACCAGGCAGCCATGTCCCAGGACAACAGTCTCGTCTCCTGACACCGGAACCAGGCAGCCACGTCCCAGGATATCCTGGTCATATTGTGACCCAAGCGACCAGGTCCTAAGACGTCAGATCCTGACCCCCCCCCCCCCCTTGGCCGGGCCTCCAGAATATCCTGACTGACTCCTCACGGCGGCGGCAGCGGGTGATCCGGTAGCAACCAATCCTGTCCACAGCCGCCTGTGGTGACTGCCCTCCTCCAGACCGCGGACGCCGGTGTCGGTCCCCGCCTCCCCCCCCCCCCCCCCCGCCTCCTGCTGCCCGGGGTCGCCTGAGGACAATATCATAAAAAAGAACGGCACCGAAAAACGTCACTCTCCCCAATGCTATAAAAGAAAGAAGAAGCGACGGCAAACACGTCTTTATCTCACGCTGGCGTTTTTTTCTTACCAACGTATTTTTAGGCAGCCCGATTGGCGCATCGTGCACCGGAGCAAAGAAGCTTGCACAAGTTTAGGGGTTAGCGAGGAATGATAAAATACGGGGAATGTTACAGAATTTTAGATGCATATTTTACCACATATTTAAGGAACATTATGTCACAAATCTAAATCTTGAGCAAAAAAAGTGGTTTTCAGGTAGAATTCTTTGAGTTGCATTACCATGAACCACGGTTGAGACGGCCTCGATCTGATGTAAAATTTGTAGTCTCTCTACAACTATGGCGCAGTATCGCGCCAAAAATAGTCCTGAATAAGCTTTACAGTGCTTAAACAGCCCCACTGGCGGCTTTTTCGTGGCGCATTTTCTATGCGCTTTTTTAGCAGACGGCTTATGACATTCAGTGGCGTAAAATTGAAGAAAAAAAGAACGTCGGTGGTGTCCTTTTTATAGCATTGACCGTTGGCGTCAGCGCTGCTCCACCCGCGGTCCTCCGGCGTCTGCTCTCTCCCGACCGCGGCCGCCTGGTGTCGGCTCCCCCTCCCCCCCCCCCCCCCCTCCGTCCTCTCCTCCCCCGACCGCCACCGCCCGGTGTCCGCCCCTCTCCCTCGTGGCGGCCGTCCGATGTCCGCTCTCCTTTCACGGCGATCGCCCGGTGTCCGCCCCCTCCCCCCCCCCCTCCCTCTTGACGGCCGTCCCATGTCCGCCCTCCCTTCACGGCGACCGTACACTGTCCGCCCCCAACGGCCGCCGAACGACCGCCGCTGGGCCAAGATTGAGCCGGCCGTCGCCGCGGGAGTGGTTAGCGCCGCTGCTCGGACCGGTCGGCATTGATTCGCGCGGCGTGCGGGTCGGTCGCTGACGCCACCGGCCAATGGGGGCGCCGAGCGCCAGGGGCCGGCCGCGCCGTCGCAGGCTTATGAACGCATTCCGACGACGGGGAGCAGCCGGGTGATTTATTGTCTGATTATGAGGCGTTCGTGTGTATCGGGGGAGACAGAAGGAATAGCCCGTGGGAGGAGCGGCACCGCGCGGCCAAACACCGCCGCAGGGGACAGGGCGGGGGCGAACCCCGCGAATGGTGTTGCGAGATTGCGGTGGGGACGAGAGTGGAGTGGAGAGAGTGGAGAGTGGAGGACCGGAGCGGCACTGGCTGCTCAGGCAGGAGTCGATGGCAAGGGTCATTAACATCGTATAAGTGTTAAAACTAATGGTGTCACTTATAACCTCATGCGATACTTTGAGCACTGTCGCCACGTTCGATTTTAATTGGGTCTGATCCAACGCCATTGCATCATATCAGAAAATATTTACGTTACTGCCTGCAAATCAATAAAATGGCTCAAGACCGTGGAGCGCTTGCCCTCTGGCGGCGACGAACGCGGCTCCGGAGATCACGTGCCAGCGAGCAGACCGGCTCCGGCGGGCCGTGGTCAGCCCGGCTGCGGCCGGCCCCGTCACCCGACACCGCGATGACGGATGACGTTGTCTCGGCATGAGGGGCTCGCCACCGGCCGGGCCAGCGACGCCGCGCCGGCGGCAGGCGGCTCGGGGCGTGCCGGCAGCAGGCGTTACAGGCTGGTGATGTATTCGAGCCCCGCGACACGCCATCTTGTTCGCCTTCGGTGGACGAGGGTCCTCCCATGTCTCGAAAATTTAATGCTTCGACCGGATTGAAAGGTACCATCGGGTAGCTCGTGCAAAACTGGTTCAGGTGCGTGCCTTTTGACATCAGCGCAAGAAACTTTCCGCAGGGTGAACCAGATCAACGGGATATTCGAGTACTCACCGGGGACTCGTCGAGTACTCGAGTACAATGGGGCACTCGAGCAATCCTCTAGACAGCAATAGGAAAGTGGGGGAAGCGGTATTATGCGACCCTTGGCACACTGCGTTATGCACTCTGAGTACATCACTGGCAGGTGTGACATGTGCCGTGCCAAATTAGTTAATACTGTGTTCGTCCAGCCTTGTGTCCATATTTGTTGTCCTCCATTCGTGTTATCTCAAGAGCTGAGCATGACGCGGCAGCGAAACACAACGGAAAGCGGCGTCGAGCGGCGTCAGGCAACAGTTAACGTGACCAAAGGTATGCCAAAGTGTGCTGCGCGCTGGTATTTTTTAACACTGTTAAGAGGCGAAGCGCAACTTACGACATCCCGCACTCGTCTTAAGAGCACCAGTAACTGCAGAGGTCATGTTAGCGCTCATGGACCATGGTCCGGCCAGGGTTCCAATCCGAGCCCCCAGTCGAAGACGCAAGCCACTCGGTCATTACGGCCACGCGAGCCCTCGTCAGTCTGCTGTGTGCATCCCAGACTAGACCATGACCCAAGCTACTCGGTCATTACGGCCGCGCGAGCCCTCGCCAGTATGCTGTGTGCGTCCCAGACTAGACCATGACCCAAGCTACTCGGTCATTACGGCCACGCGAGCCCTCGTCAGTCTGCTGTGTGCGTCCCAGACTAGACCATGACCCAGCCACTCGGTCATTACGGCCGCGCGAGCCCTCGTCAGTCTGCTGTGTGCGTCCCAGACTAGAC